TAATTCGTGTAATCTAATTTTACTTTTTTTTTTTTTTGCATTTATTGCATTTTTCTTGCATAGAATCAGAACATTATGCCAGAATCGACGCCCGCACAAGTGACACAGTGGCTGACAAATCATCGTCTGACGGCCTACGTCACCACATTTGCCCATTTCTCGGGCGCGGATATTATGCGGTGAGCGTAGCGCTCACATTAGAGAGCTTTTTTTCTATATCCATATTGTTTTGTGGATATCAGTTTATTCTCTCACTCTTCAACGCATTCTCTTTCTATATTTAGCATGTCCAAGGAAGATCTAATACAAATCTGTGGACTTGCCGATGGCATACGCATGTTTAATATATTGCGCGCCAAGTAAGTTTGAACTTAAAAAGAAAACAAATTTTTCAGCTGTAAAATTTTATGTTACTGTGGATTAATCTTGTGAGAGTGTTGTTTAGGTTTCTATAAAGAGCTTTAACGGCAAAGCTTTTTTTTTTCACAATTGAATCTTGAACTTAAGGCTTTCTTTAACTAAGAGCTTACAAAAACTGCTTATAGAATGAGATAAAAAGCTTAATTCTAACCAAAAATAATTGCAAAGCGTTTTATTAGAGTAAACTTAATTTAAGCTGTAAACCTATTGATAATAACTATTATACAAATAGTTTAATCTTCAAGTTAGGATATTCATCTTCGATATAAATAATTAGCTAAAGCTTAATGTTATTAAGCTTGACCGTAAACTTAAAGAAAAAGCTATTTAAAGTTCAGTTAAAGCTTAAATCATAAAAACTTTAAAGTGAATATTCAAAACAAGCGTATAGCTTAAAGCTCAAAGCTTAACCCGTTTCTTGTGCTTTCAGCATATGCAAAGCTCATTAATATTAACCGCATATCCTAGCTTGAAAGCTTTATATTAAAATAGTCAATTCATATACGCTTAAAGCTCTCTCCCTTACTCCAACCTGTTGGCCTTCTCAAGGCTCTAGTTCCTGTACTGCACTCAAGATTAATCCAACGTGTGAATCAAACTTTCAGCTATTGTCACTTTGATATAAACAATTAAAACATTTGCTAATTTTTCGAATTTCTCTTACAGGACCATTGCGCCACGTCTGACGCTCTATGCCAGCATGGATGGCTGCAGCTACAATGCCATCTACTTACTGTCCAACACGGCCAAGGAACTGCAGCAGAAGATCTACAAGCTGCCCGGTTTCTATGAGTTCATGGCCAAGGGCGGCTCTGCTGGCGCCTTGGAGAATGGCAGCGGTGTGGCAGCCGCGGCGGCTGCTGCAGCAGTGCTCTACAACAATTGGGGCATGCATTCAAAATACTCGGGCAGCGGCTCCAATATATTCAACGAGGCGAACAAGAGTTGCGTATATATATCGGGTCCATCTGGCATACATGTCTGCGTCAGCGATGAGGTGCTCAACAACGAGGTCAAGGACGGCAGTCTCTATGCCCTGGACGTGCAGGGCGGCAAAGTTATAATGAAATTGATCAATAAGCAGGATAACAATTGAATAATTGTTTATCTAAATTTGTTAATTATACCATATGCGTTTGTTGATTGCCTGCACCAAGCAATACCATGAAAGAAAAGTATAGTTTTTAGCATTTATACCGAGCTATATCAAATGTAACACATGCGTATTAGAGTTATATCACACAAGCACACATATATGCATATATATATATATATATATATAAGTTTCAATTTGTATGAGATTTCGCGCAGCAATTTTGAACAAGTTACCACATTCACCTAACAATATTATGTCCCATGCTTAAAGTTCTGGATATATTCGAATTTCTTTGAGTTCCATTTCCATTCGATAATATTTCCTCTGAGTTTTGATGATTTTTTGTTTAATTTTTTATTTGATCCGAAACATTTCTATATTTGCCTAGCATTTTGTATTTGATTTCGTTCTTTTGAATTTTTATTTTCTTATGCTGCATGTTTTATGTTGTAAGCTTTATTATTTTACCCTTACGTATGTAACACTTTTATATATATACACACTATATACCACATATATATAGCAAAGATATATATGAAGCAGTTGCAAGCAATTGAAGTAGAAGAAAAAAACACAAAAATCATAAAAAAAAAACAATTTATTATTATTTAGCAACACGATAATTATAACAACAAAGTACAGTACCACAAGATCGAACATTGAACAACAAATGTCGGATGAAAGAGTTCAGCTAACAACCAAACAACATCTATTGTTTTAACAAAGCTTATCCAATTGTATGTGATAAAAGCAATAAAGTGTTATCCAAGAGTGGACTGTCGAAAAAAAAAATTGTATAGAACTTCATAATTTATCGGCTTGGCTCATTGTTCATGGTTTGAACTCTAGATCTATCACCTAAACATATCGCATATAAATCTGGCAACATTATTCTTGGTCAAAATTAACGTAAAAATATTACTCTCAAATATCCTATATAGGTCAAAATTTCCCAACTCTGTAACTCGATGAAAACTCATTGGAAATTCATGAGGTTTGACTCTTTGTTCATTGTTTGACCTCTAGATCAAACGAGCAACTAAATCTAGCAACATTATTCTTGGTCAAAATTAACGTAAAAATATTACTCTCAAATATCCTTTATGGACCCCCATAACCCATCATATTTTATGAAATCTCATCAGATTTTTTGAGTATGTTTTAAAAAGTTAAAAAAAATTAAATTAAAAAAAAAGGTGACCACATTTGAAACAGAGATGCCTGCGACTAGTGTTGAATTAAATTTCTGGCATTTGACAACACTTTCGGCACGGGGAAGTACCCCAAAGTGCTTTGATTAGAGAAATTATTATATTTGTTTGTTAAATTTATGGAAACTAGTTAAGTAATCAAAATTTCAATTAGCCTAATTTAGATATGAAATGCTTGACAATTATTGTAATATTGCTGCTGTGCGTGCTGGGTAATTAGAGCATATAGAAACTATATGCATATATTTTTGATCAGATTGTAATGCAAATTGTTGAGGCAGGCAGTCAGGCTGATTGCCAAATAACCAGGCACATGGTGGAAAATACAAATCGCATATTCACCTACCGGGATGAGGGTGGCGCTCTTCAGCTATTGCGCACAGAGCGAGTGCCCAGCGGCATGCTACTTTACATGTACTGCAGCGTAACGGATGTGCTGGAGACCCAATGCCAGGATAACGGACAGTTTACGTTGGCGCTGCCCATGAGCTGTGCCACGCCCATGCGATCAACTGTAGCAAAAAGCCGCGACGCTGCATGCCCCCAGACGCTGTACATAGTGGGCTATTCGCTGGAGGGCAAACAGCTGGAGCTATATCGCTCCTGCCATGATGGCCAGGAGGGTCGGGTGCTGTACGCAGAGAGCGATGTCTACTACAAGAGCTTCTGTAAGACTTCAGCTTAAAGCAATTTAAATCTGCAGCCTTAGCCAAGGTCTTTTCGCAGTCGCCAAGCGGCCGTGGGTGGAATTCGAAACGGATCAGATAGTCACACCTGCGGAGGCGGCTGCCTATATGAAGCGTAATACCCATGATGCATTCAATTGCATTTTTGGCGACAAACAACAATATTTGCCCAGTCCAAGCGATCTGGTCATCAATCGCGGTCATTTGGTGGCATCCGCCGATTTTCTGTTTTGCGATCAAATGGCCAGCACCTTTCGCTATCTGAACGTGGTGCCGCAGTTCAAGAGCATCAATGATGGCAACTGGGAGAAAATAGAGCGCTGGCTGCGCAGCCAGGTGCCCGCCACTACACCGTTCCGCATTAAGACCGGTGGCATCGATGTGCTCACGCTCCAGGATGTGCAGGGCGACGAGCGCAGCGCCTATCTGTCCGGCTCCAAGCTGCCGGTGCCCCTGTGGATCTATAAGACTGTGCGAGACATCAATGGCAACGGCATCTATGTGTTTCTCTCGTACAACAATAAATTCGAGCGTGACCGACCTGGAATCCTGCACAGTTGCCAGAGCGTCGCGTGTCCTCTTAGTCTGCCGAACAATCCCAGCGATGGTTTCATATTTTGCTGTAATCCTGACAACTTTCCATACTAAGACGAATGCACAAATTGTTCGTGGTTCTGGCAGTCAATTCACGAACAGCTTCTGCTAAAGGTGAGTCGAAATATTTAAAGCCAGTTAATATATTTCTTTTAATAATTGATTTTCCATTTTTGACCTTTCCATTTACACAACCTTATGGATTTATTTTATTTTATCAGCATTTTTTTTAAACATTTTCCAGCAAATATGCCTCAATTTAGCAAATAAATAAATTTTAGATATTTTAATACATCAAATTATTATTTAATTATATTTTTCTTTTTATTATCATTATTATTATTATTATTATTATTATTATCATTATTATTATTATCATTACTATTATTATTATCATTATTATTATTATTAGTATTTTTGTTATTGTTTTTTATTATTATCATTAGAAGTATTATGATTGTTTTTCTAATTATTTTTGTTAGTATTCTTTTCTACATCATTAACATATTTTTTATTGTGTTTTTATTTTTAAATTTCTGACTTATTGCAAATGTTTTTTTTTTTCATCTACCTTTTCCATATCACATCTTGATTTTTCTGATATTGCTCTTCGGATTCTTTCCTCAAATACGCAGACAAAATGTACACTTATGTAATAAAATTATAAATGATAATCGTTTTGTCCTTTTACCCATTTAAAATGCACTTTGAATAATTTAGTATATTTACTTAACGGTCCTCAGCTTATTAGACAACGGTCAGCGATTAGTGAAAGTCGCATGCACTGCACAAAATAGTCGACTAAGTTGTCCATATGTGTTTTTTCTTTTTAATTTTTTAAAATTCAACATACATTTTTGGGAATTCAAACAAACAAATTTAAATATGAATATTTTTAATATTTTATTTACTTTAAAAAAGTCAAAGGACTTTCAAAAATTGTCAATTACAATATCCGACTCTTTTTTTATTTGAATTTGGCACAACTTTAAATTTCTTATATTTCATAATTATATTTTATATTTGCCTACGGCTTGATTCTTTTGGTGCCCAAAGTTATGTTCAATGAATTCATTTAAATTTAATACCGATTAATGTACTTTAACGAGTTTTTAATTGTCTACGCAATGCCCTTAAAAGGCCTAGTCCATCTCAGGACCCACAATAGTTGCAGCCCAAGCGTTATAGGAAATGAATCTTAGTTTTGATAGGTCTGTGGAGGTGTTTTACACGGGTCAGAAGCGCATTCTGGACTGGTATTCGCTTTGGCCGCAGCAGGTGCGCTGGAAACGTGTGCTGCACGGTATCAATTTCTGGCTTGTTTTCGGCTTCCGGATGATGATCTTAAATTTCATGTTAGTGATGTACATTGGAATCAATATACGGCATATGAGCGAGGTAATGAAGGGTTTCTTTTTGCTGGCCACAAGCGTTAGCTATTCCATAAAGGTAAAATGTTAAAGATTTGTACAGCAGCTGCCAAATACTCTGTAATATTTTCAGCTATACTCCTTTAAGTGTAATAACGTGGCCCTGCTCCAGATACTTGCCAATCTACACGATCCACTATTCCGGCCGGGCAGCCCGGAGGAGCAGCGAATCTTTGTGGACGCCAGGGAATTAAGTCGTACTGTCCGTAATTTTTATGGAACTTTCTCGCTCTGTACTCTAAGTACAATGCTCTTTACACAATATATCATCGATAATAGCGAACTGCCACTGGTTAGCTATGATCCTTTCAATGGTGCACCCGGCTCCTTTTGGTACTGCATCCTGTACATTTATCAATGTGTTTCACTCTCGACCGGCTGCTTTATGAATATATCCGTCGATTCGCTCTGCTGTTCCATATGTATCTTTATTCGCTGTCAATTAGATATTTTGGCATTGCGACTGCAAAATATTGGACACAATTGCGATCTGGAGGGCACAAAGAAAGGCGCCGAAGTGGAGCGGCTACTGAAGAATTGCATTTGCTACCACATGAAGATTGTCCAATTGGCAGCTGATACAGAGGCTTTGGTCAACAAACCCATATCGGCGCAAATATTCTGCTCTGTGCTGGTCTTAACAGCCAACTTCTATGCCATGACGCAGGTGAGTTGATGGAATAAGCATTCGAAAATTGTCAGAAAAAGAAAGAAAATATTTGTAAAAATGTTGTAAGCAAGATTGCATATATTGTGTAATTGAAAAAAGTTGATGTTTTTAAATTAAAAGTTTGTTTTTCTAATATAAAAATTAGAGATTTAACAAATCAAAGTTCTTAGCTAAATATATTTACCAAAATTATAAAATTAATTCAAATGGAATTATCTTAAAAAAATTTAAATATATAAGGCTATTTAATATTTTTGTTAAAATTAAACTGATTTAATTTCTAAATATCTTTACAGCTATCCGATGAAAAGCTGTTTCTTATGAAAATGGTAAATTACCAAGTCTGTATGCTCATGCAGATCTTTATATTATGCTATTTTGCGGGGTAAGTAACCCACAATTTTATATAACAGCCGATATCTAAGTATATATACCTATTATATCAGCGAGATAACACAGCGCAGTCTGGGCCTGCCCCACGATCTGTACAGATCCAATTGGGTGGATTGGCAGCGGTCCAATCGGCGGCTGCTGTTGATGCTGATGCAACGTCTGGATATTCCCATACGTATGAGGACAATAAATGCCAGCCATGCCTTTGACCTGGAGCTGTTCGGTTCGGTGAGTTGTGACTGTATTTTGCGCACTGTAAAATATTCCATAATGAGCGGCTCATTAGGGCTAATTAGCCTGCGTGTCCTTGCGTAAGCTGGCCGTATATAAGGCCTGCTAAAATGTGCAGCTGGCCAAATAGTCATTGTTCGATATTGTCTCGACATGATGCAGCAAGCGGAGCACCAGAAAATCACGTCGGCTTTCTACAAGTATCAGGTCTGGTATTTCGATATGTTGGGCATGTGGCGTCTACATTTGTCTGCCACCTGGCAGCAGCACATATGGCATCAGTTGCGCTGCTGCCTCATGCTGGGCATTGTGTCCATTATGCTGCTCTTCTTTGCGATACGCGTGCTGGCCAACATAGATCAGCTAAGTGTCATACTGCAGGTATTCTTCATGTTTGCCACCGAACTCTCCTGCATGTCCAAGCTGCTCAGCATTAAGCTGCAAAATGAACAGCATGCCCGGCTCATCGATGAGATGCACTCCTCGTGCTTTCGGCCCAGATCTGGCAAGGAGTCGCTGATCTATAGACGCGGCGCTCAGCGTACCGTCAAGTGGCGCAATCTGTACGCATGGAGTTCCGTGCTGGCCGCCAGTCTAATACTGGTCACCCAATGGTTTGTGGATAACAACGCGCTGCCGCTGTCCATGTACGAGCCGTGCGATTTGGCCCGGCCCGGCTGCTACTATGGACTGTATTTGTATCAGGTGCTGTCGCTGATGCCCACCTGCTGGATAAATATTGCATTTGATTCCATATCCGGCTCGTTCTTATTCTTCCTCGAGACACAGCTGGCCATGCTGGCAGCTCGATTGGAGAGCCTGGGTGCGGTTGTTACCCCGCTGGATGATCAGCGCATTGCGCTGGAATTGCGCGATTGTTGCCTCCACTATGGGCGTATTGTGCGGCTTAAGGATCTGGTGGATGGCTTTATTAAGGTGCCCGGTTCGGTGCAGATGCTCTGCTCGGTCCTGGTGCTTGTTTCCAATTTCTATGCGATTTCCATACGCACTAAAGAAACGGCTTTTATGATCATGATGGCCTCGTATCAGTTTGTGATGCTCTTGCAAATCTTCATCATATGCTATGGAGCCGACGAGATGAGCCATCAGAGTGCATTACTATCCCACGCACTGTACAGCTCCGATTGGACCACTTGGAGCAAGAGTAATCGCAAAATGAGCCTGTTAATGATGCTGCGCTTTAATGCGCCGCTGCAGATGCACACCCTAAATCACTCACAGAGCTTTAATTCTACAACTTTTGCATCTGTATGAATAGTTTAGTGTGCTTATTAATTAATCATATCATACTAATAATCATTTTAAATTTACAGATTGTGAACTGCTCCTACAGCTACTTTGCTCTGCTCAAGCGTGTCAACAGTTAAATTTCGCGCCCAAAAAATTTACGTTACTGCACACTACGCACGCGTTGCCATCAACAGTTATCGATTAACGATTAGCCTAACCCACGTTCGATGCTCAGCACTGCTTTAGTTTTCAGGAAATGTTAGAGCGGTTTCGCAGAATCACAATAAATGCACTAGAAACAACACGTTTTCGCTCAATTTGGTAACGATAGTAACGATAGTATCGATAGTGGTTGCTTGCGCTTTACAACACTAAGCATGTCATATCGTTCAGCTGATGCACGTTCTTTAGTTTCGCGTCGTGCTATGTGTAAAAAGTTAAAATGTCGGAGAATTCGAATACAAACAACGAAAATGGGCCTAGCTGCCTGCATTGCAGTGCGTACAATTCAAAGCAACAATATCAGGAAATATTCGATGAAGTGGGCATCGAAATTGAGCTCGCCGACCTGCTGGCCAAATATTTCCAAATAGTTATCAAGCCAGACCCACAAAAGTCGCAGCTGCTGTGCCAGGAGTGCGTAAATACGCTGATACGTTTCTTTGACATAGACGAGCTGCAACGGGAGCAGGATGCCGCCAATGCAGCCAAAAAGAATGCCGTCAAGCAGCAGGAGCTTGTTATTGTCTCGCCTCTCGTGCCCGCAGTTGCCGCCAAAAAGGATGTAAAGCCCGCCAAAAAGCAGAGCACTCCGCCGCCGCCGCCGTCCAAGGCAGCGCCAACAGCGGCTAAAAGTACGCCAGTGACAGTCAAACGGTTGGCGTCATCTGTTAAATCAGAGAAACCTTCGTCGGCGGAGGCTACGGATGCTCCGCCACCAAAAGCCGCTGCCGCTGCCCCGACCATACGCATTACCCGGGCCAGAACTGTAACACCGAAACGTTTGCCGGTTAAAGTTAAGGAAGCGGTCAAAGCGGCTGCTAAAAGTCACAACAGCAGAGAAGCCGGGCCAGCGGATCAGGAGCAGATAAGCGCACTAATACGTGACATTCTTGACGATGAGGAGGCGCCAGGCGATGATAAATTTGCTGGGGCAGTAGCCACAGTGCGTCAGCTGGAGAAGCAATCCGGCACGAATAAGCGCCAGGTAAAAGTGGTGGTGCAGCAAGAGCACGTGGAGGAAGAGTGCCAGAATCTTAATGAACAGGAAAACAATGAAGAGCTAGAGTTTCTGCTCGAGCCTGATGGTGAGTAAACTTATGTAGATATATATCCGAGCACATATATGTATATAGAGACATACTGGCTGGCATTTCCCGGAGTTGCCCGGCCTAAGACATTTTACCCATTCATTTTCCATCATTCAATTAGTCGTGGTAAACCATTTTATATATATTTGTCAAATATCTCCACAGATGGCTCCTCCGACGTGGATGTGCGTCACTTCAAAGTGGAGCGTAAAGTCAAAAGCGTCACATCGCAGTCACAGAATGAGAGCCAAAGCGATGATGAATCCTTCAAAGTGGAGCCTTTCAATTTTGTTTTGATTAAGGAATGTGCGTAAGCTAAATCAATGTACATGGAATACACACTCACCCAATTCTCATACGCAGCGGATAACATTGGCGATCTGCACGAATATTTGTCCACCGTGGTCAAGACCAGCTTTGAGACTTTGCAATTCGATTGGGCCACGGTGTGCCGTCATTGCTCGCTAAAGTTTACCAAATATGAGACGTTGCTCAATCATATGCTGAAGCGACATCAGCTGTCGGAGGATCGCTACAGTTGCCCCATTGAGGGCTGTACGGCGGAGCTGCAGGGCCGCAAATACCTGGCCATGCATTTGGTGGTGCTGCATGCGCCCGTGGCGGAGTAAGCAATTGCATGAATTCTAATCAGAAGTCAATATTGATTGCCTTTCGTTGCAGAATACCCATCTATGGCAAGTGCCCCGAGTGCAACATGACCTTCTCGAACATATTGCAGTATAACAAACACTCCTGCGCGCATGTCATCAAGAAGCGTCGCGGAATACGCCTGTACTGCGAGATGTGCGGCTTGGAGTTTCCCTCCTGGAAGCGGTTAGTTTTTGATGTGGCTTTGCTAACGCTGCAGTCGTAGCTAATCTATTCCATGACCAATTTCAGCTTTAATTTCCACAATCAATTTCATTTGGAGCGCCACAGACCGCGCGTCTGTTTTGTGTGCGACTATGCGGACACCAACATAGATGAGCTATTCCATCATTTGCACTATGCACACGAGCCCGAGGGCACTCTCTTCTGTGATCTGTAAGTTTGATGGTTACCTGGTTTGCATTGCTTGTCTTACATATCCTTTTGCCCTTGCAGTTGTGATCGCAATTTCCGTGACGCTGCCGTCTTCATGGAGCACAATAAGTCGCATTCGAATGTCAGCAGCACCACCTACAGCTGTTCCGAGTGTAGCGCCAATTTCGAGACACGCGGCCGACTCAATGCTCACATGGTGGGTACTTCTTGTATTTAATCCCTTCTAGAGATCAGTCTCAGTTCTTAAAGTAGTTAAAGTAAAGTAGCAGTACTTATGCTTATTTTTGTTTCTGTTCCAGCGCTCCGTACATGGCAGCGTGATCAGCTGCGAGCTGTGCAGCCGCGAATTTGCCACAGAGGCCACTTACAACCTGCACATGAAGACGCATCTAATTATTGAGCGCGAGGTGCATGTGTGCAGCAATTGCGGGCTGCTTAGCGAAAATAACGACAAAATGATGGTAAGCTAAGGCTTATTGGGTATGGTAACAGTTGATGAAATGTTGTTGCTTTGCAGGCTCATGTGGGAAATGAGGATTCAGCTTGCCTTGGCATGGATGTCTATGCGGAACAGTTGCGCAATGCTTATATATGCGAATATTGCTCCGCGTACTTTAAGCACAAAAGTGATTTGAGCGCGCATCGCGATTCGGGCGTGCATAAGGATGGTTTCTTCTTTTGTCAGCCTTGTGGCAAGGAGTTCGCCGACATGAAACTCTATCGTCATCATTTGCGCAACTTCCAGCAACAGCGCACGGATGTGGCGCATCGCAGGCTGGAGATTGGCCTGTACTACATGTGTGATTATGAGGTAAGGATCAAATTCTTATTGCACATTTATTTAACAAGCCTAACTATTTGATTTTCTGCAGGACTGCACTGAGGCCTACATAAACTGGAATTCGCTGTACACACATAAGCGACGCACACACGACGCCATCTGCAAGCGGGAGCCTCAGGCCAAATATAACGAATGGATCTGTCAGTTCTGTCAGAAGGAGTGTCGCTCCAAAATGTCGCTATCGGTGCACGTGGCGCGCAGTCACAACAACAGTGTGTATTTGGAAATAGTATAACTAAGTTCCCTTTTAAATGACTTACTCTTTGTAGACAATGTGATTTGCCCGCTGTGCAAGGCCTCGTACAAGGATAAGGAGGCATTGGCCAAACATAACGCCTATTGGCATGAGCCCATCGAATGTCAGCTGTGCCTGAAAGTGGTCAAAAATCGTCGCAACTATGACACACACATGAATGTGGTGCACTCGAATAACAAACGCTACTTGTGCAGTGTCTGCCAAAAAGGTTTCTATCATAAAAGTGAAATGGAGGCGCATCAGCGGGTGAGTCATCTTTATAAACTATATTTTATATATCTAAAGAGACTCAATGTTAAAGAACACTTAAATATTTTTGGGAATCTGGCTCGAAATTATCTTGGGCAGAACCTTTAGCCGAGCGTGCTAAGCATAAATGATATCTATCTCTATAAATAGGCAGGGCGGCTTCTAATGTATTTCAAATGTCTTTTATATATTTCTAATATTTTGTTTAGATCGCTTAGCTTATCAATCATGTGTGGGTGGGACTATAAAATAGTTATATGTAGGATTTGGATGCTAAAATGTGGGCTTACTCTTGTCTCGAATATTTTATATCACTCGATATATTTAAATTATATGCATATTAATTGGTTATAATTTCCTGTTTAGTTGTCTAAAGCTCAGAATTAAAGGGAAAAGGATACGGTTTATTTTACTAATGTATATTGAATGCGTATATAAATAGGGTAATATATTTTTATTAATAAGCTAGGATATCATACGTTAGCTGAGTTTTGACTGATATTGTTAGTTCTTGGCTCTTTACTTCTCCTGTGGGCTTCTCATCGGTTGTACCTTTTCCCCTGATGTTTGTTTGGAAGCTTGGAAGCAAGCTTTCCTTGAAATTTGTGCATTTTCTCAGCCGATTCCTTGCAAGGGCGTTAGGGCATATCCAGGACGTTAGCTATATCCAACGGTAGGCTCCAACGGCCCTCAGCATCACGGATTTTCATGCGGAAACAAACATCAACAATATCAAAATTTCAACAAACCCAAAATTGCATGGAGGCGAAAAAGTAGAGCCCATCAGTGAAAGAGAGAGAGAGCTAATAAATTTAACAAATGCCTATCCCTATCCGCAGCTGCATACCCAGTCGTTCAGCTGCGAGCACTGTAGCTTCATCACGCGAAACAAGAAGTCGCTGTCGGTACATGTGCTGGGACAGCACTTCAAACGCTTCGCCTTCGAGTGCAAGATCTGCGATAAGCGCTTCGGACGTCGCCCGGGTCTATCGAATCATATGCAGCGTGTGCATGGCTCCATGTATACCTGTCGTGATTTCTTTGACGAGGGCTGCAGCAAGTCCTTTGGCTCCACGACGAAGCTCAATGTGCATGTGCGTAAGGTGCACAACAGCAGCATTTACCTGGAAGATGAGCCAGTCAAGCCGGAGGAAGAGTGTGAGGAGGGTGAGGAGGGCGTGGAACTGGAAGAGGAGGAGGAATCAACCAGCGATGGTCCATCCACATCAAAGAAACGCTGCATACGCATCAATGCGAGCACACAAATCGAGTTTATAGGCGACACAGCTGTTGCCGAGGAAAACGAGAGTCTTGCAGGCGCGGAAATCTTTGAGGAGTTTCAAGAGGAGATCAAGGAAGCGGACGCAGAGATGCCAAAATCCAAAAAGCATAGGCAATGTTAACATTGTTGATTAGAACCAAGTGGAATGCGCATTATTTGATTGTTTTTGCTTTTATTTGTATTCGCTAAAGCAGTTTTAAAACTTTTGATTTCAATTGATTTAAGTAGTTGCTACCCATAATTTTGAACACAAAATATGTCGTTAAAATTGACATACATAATGTAATGTATGTTATATAACATTATAGATATAACTAGCTGCTATTTTCTATATTTCGGTTTTGTCAACTTAAGTTTCAATTATTTTCACTATCCATCTCCACTCCATTTTCCGCTCATTCGCACTTGTCATTCATGGTCTTGTGTTAACATTAGTTTGCTTCACCATTTTCACATTATTTTCTCTACATTCTACTCGCACACATCTTGTATTTACATGCCTGATTTTCTTTACGCTTTTCATATCATTTGTCAGGCATAAGTTCTGGGTCTTAGCGTAAGTTTGCTTAAGCCATGTTCGCGTGTATCTCTTCTCATTTGAACACTTTTATCGCAGTAACTATATAAGCTAGCATTATGAAATTTGGTATGCAGACGCTTCTATAACCTACACAGCTTAAGCTCTTTATTAAATACTACAAAACTTTTAACTATGCTAACGAAATTTTTCTAAATACAAATTACATTTGTACAAACAGAAAACGAATAAAATGAAACATGCGTTGTGGCTAAAATTTGATTTTACAGGATATCTGCAAGTCTTGTATGTATGTACATTTACGGCAGCAAATTTGATTTATTAAAGCGTTTTGCAGTTTGGTCATTAAAAATTGCGTGAACAAATTAAATCCAAATTGTTGTGAATGTTTTGATTCGATTTATGATCTAGATATCTAGAGCTTGGTACAGCGTAACTGCTAGTCGGAACAGCAGCACACATCTGCTTATTAAATAGTTTCAATTATATAGAGATATTACATATCGACTAATTTCAATTGCATTTAACTAGCCAGAGTCTGGCGGAAGCAAATTTGATTTATTAAGCGTTGTAGTTTGGTCATTTAAACTTTGCAGATTGAGTGCGGAGCTAACCTGGAAATCAAGAAAGTAAATAGAACAGTTTCTATATTCAGTTTGAGATTAGACTCCGCTCAGATACTCACTGGGCTAATGGGTGTTATAACAATCGCGGTGCGTGTGGCGCAGTGCAGCAGCGCCGTGTCCTCCGTGGACTCATCACAGTCGCCATCCGCATCGACATCGACATCGGCGCCAATGTCGCTATCGATTTCCCACGATGGAAAATGCTCCATTTCGCCCTCACAGTTCAGATCCTCCTCCTCGAAGTCCTCATACTCATCAATGAGTATAACTGTGGACAATACACATAATACAAATGTTTTTAGATCGATTATTTGAATTGGAATTCCAATTGGAATTTTCTAAAAGATATTTTGAATGAGTGCGCAGTTGGTATTATGCTTTTCTCAATGAATATGTGCTTTATTTGAAATAACAACTGAAGAAAAAATATTAAATGAATCTTTGGCGTTTTGTGGTTTTTTTTTTGTTGTTGTGCGGGTAGTTCAGGCACGGCCTGGCTTACTTGAACTATCTGGCGGCGTTGGCTTCGCACCGGAATCCAAGGATTGTGCGCCCTCATCTGGCATATTGATGCGTTGCTCGTGTTTGCTATATGGCTCCGATGTGGATCTATGCAGGCTGTTTTTGTTTTTAATATAAACATCTATATAATATCTTTAACTGATATACATATGTTTTTAATGCCCTTGCAGAAAATTGCCCTGAATTGGACAAGATGGAAGTATGTTTCTATAGTTGATCTGATTGCTTTAACATTTAGTTTCCATTTGAGTTTTTTGTCTTCCATTCTAAAACAAAGAAACTTTGAAAACTCTATGAGCATAGTTATTCCCATAAACACGATCTTCTACTATTGCATATTTGTCTGTACTAGGAAAAAAAACTATCCATTCAAACAATATATCATGCTTCCAAGATATCCACATGATCAACATCAGACTAATATTTATGCGATGGAGCTTTTTATAGACCAAGCTCAGCATTTGATCAAAATAATATACCGTTTAATTGTCATATATCTGCAAGGGTATTTCAAGTTCGGCGCGCCGAATCTTTCATTTATTTCTCTCATGCACTCACCTTAAAGTAACGCGTTTTTTAGTTCTATTCTCTAAATCAGTCATAAATACATCATTGTGCTGTTGCTTCTCAGGCGTTAGCTGATATGGGTTAAGCACGGAAGACTATAAGTATATATGCCATAAATAACTTTTATCTGATAAGTTCCCATATATATATATATGTCTACCTTTGTATTGGTCGCTGTATGCTGTGTATGCGGCATGGGTGTTTGTGTGGCAATCGCATCCGTTGTGGTTGTCACCGTCTGTGTGGAGGTCAGCGCCGTCTCATTGCTGTCCAGACGATCCACAGATGTGGCACCTGCTGCTGCTCCGGCTGGCGCTGAGACCAGCTCGGGATGCACGCTAAGCGTGGCGGTTCGCTTCCACACATCGATCATGCTCTGATTGTGTGTGTGATGCAGATTGTGACTGTGACTAGGGCTAATGGAATGTATTTTGGGTTTGGGATTTGCTGGCAACGGAAGCGCTAAAAATCTATCACGATCCTCCATATAGGCCTTGATCAGTATATCGAGTTTCTCCTCAATATCCACGACCTGCAATAGTTACCATATATATTATCTATGGCATAGCTGGTTTCTCGCCTTTTGCTCACCTGACGCTCAACCTTAACGACACGCGAGGCTAAGCTGATTTTCGAGGCATACACATCCTTTGCCTTGGAACCTTGTTTGCCCAGAATCTGATCAAGACTGTGAAATATACAAGAATTAGAAAGTATATTTAATAAATATAAAAAACAATCGAACTTTTAAATAGCACCTAAGACATCTGGCTACTTGAGGTTCGAACCCGTAAAAGGAAAACTTATGGATCTTCCATACTTTAGAGAACTTTAAAGCTTGACGTTAGATAAATTGAACTTAATGACAATACAATCATCTCACTCTTCATAACCAATTAAACACCCATTTTATTGAGCTTTAAGACTATTTAAATGCATTACGCTAGATGAATTTTTAATGAGAAAACCCAATTTTGTTAAAGCTCAAAGTTTAACTAACGTTCTTTATAACCAGCTACATAAGTACCTTATAGAGCTTTTAGCTTGGCGTTAGATAAATTGTATTTAATGCAAGCAATAAATTTGTAAGGTAACAAAATATTACGTATACGTACCGCAAATGCAGCATCTTGACGCGACCCAGCAAATCCACGTGACCTGTAAACGTTTTGAGATGCATTTTTTTATAAATAATAATAAATAAGAATTGAAAATGCGTTAAGCTAACCCGCCGCATATTGTTCCATGACATCTTTGACATCGTATGGCTTCAATGCCTCCTTAAACTTGCGACGTGCCACGAAATACTTGAGCTGAAATTGCAATATTTTAGGGTATATTTTATGGGCAGATAGATATAGTATATATACCTTGCGTATGAAGCGTATGGCAATCTTGTGCCGATTTGTCAGCTGCGTGCAGCGCGGCTCCTCATCCTCATCTGGGGGCAATTTATGAATCAGAGAGATTGACTTGTGCGTTAGGTTTTGGTTGCTTGCTTCGCGCGCGTGGTTAAGCGGCAATTTGTTTAAATGTTTTTTGTTTTTTTTTTTTTTGTTTTACATTTAATCAAGTCAATCCAACAACACACAATTAACACATACAAGTAGCGGTATACACACACATATTTAATTATATGCATATTTAGTAGTTAATATAGAACGTACAATAAGTATACAGATATTAGGTTAGTTACGTTTATATCAAATCACAATATAAGAGGGAGGGCTTTTAATAATTATTATTAATTCTTGGATTGGGGGGAAAGTTAGGAAAAAGCATTGTGAAAGCATTGAAAGCAAGCGTTGTGTGTGAGTGTGTGTGTGGCCATGTAGCATAGGTGAGCAGTTGTGGGAGTCCTGTACAGTTGTAACTCCCTATATACATATATATATATATATATATATATACATATATATATATCTGATGCGTATGTATCGAGTTAGTACTTACTACAGAGCTAACAAAATGCAAAAACTTAACTAAGTGCTACGAGAGTCTAGAGAGCGCATGCTAAACCAAACCTAGCCATACATATACACTTCCTCCGGTCGCGGCATACACGATTCTAGCCGAGACTTAAGCTTTAAGTTGCAAGTTTTTTACGCACTTGCCACATAGAATGCGCCGTGCGCTGCCGCCTCCCGTTCGCCGCCGCCGCCCTGCAATGTGCCCGTTTCCAGAAAATGTGAAGCAGCCGCAAAAAAGCGACCCGTTCGTCCTCGACCCGCACTGGCCGTCGGACTGGCACCGGGATTGCCGCACTTGCCGTTACCCGTCGGCTCCGTCATGCGACCCGCCTCCAGTTCCTCGGTGCGCGGATTGCGCAGCGAAAATGTTGAGCCAAAAAAATCACCGTGCAAAAAGCCGCAAAGCACCACGGGTATGGTCAGTGTATTAGAGCTAGCCTCGACCCTCGGCTTAGCGGCAGCTGGATGCTCTGGGGCCGAAGTCAGTGTGCCCAGGCTGGCGCTATGAATGCAATTGGCCAGCTGTGCCGGCGACGGCGTTGGCTTAGCTGCTGCAGCGTGTGTGTGTGTGTGTGTGTGTGGGTGTATATGAGTGTATGAGTGTGAGTGTGAGTGTGAGTGTGTGAGAAAGCGCATTAGTTTCGGCTTGGTTGGACCCTCAAGGCTTAAATCATGTATTATCCTTTTTTTTTGTGTTTTCTGTTTGTTTTGTGTTTTGTTTTTTTTTTTTACGAACCAATCAACAACATCAAATTCAAATTTAAATTCAATTTAAAATGCAACCACAACATCGACACAACCACAACACTCAATATAAGTTTATAGTATACGATATATGAATCTCAGGTGTATTGGTATTTGGTATTGGAACCTGGGCAGGACCTTGTAGACTTACCGTCTGAATTTTTTATATTTTTTAAGCAAGTTGTTTCAGCAACTGAATCTTCGCTAAAACTCGGATTCATGGATTTGCCATTTTGTACTACCTCTGAAAATGTCAAACCAGATGTTAAAGTTGTTTTTTGTTTCATATGCTTTTTGTTTTTTTTTTTTTTTTTAATAATTTTGCTTGTGTGCCAATCAGTCAAATCAGTCAAATCAATCAATCAATCAATCAATGCAGAGACACGGTAGTCTATATGGGTCGCACATAACGGTTACAAAAAAAAAAAGGTTTAAATCAACACACACCAAAAACTTAGAAAGGAATTTTTTGTTCACGTGTTTACGTTTCAACTTTAAACATTCTTTAGAAAAAAAACACTATTTGTTTTTAACATTTTTTTTTTTTTTTTTTTTTTTTTTTTTTTTTTAGTTTTCGCTTTAAATCTTTGGGTTTATTTAGCGAGTGCGCAGATAGAAAACATTGAGCAAAAAACACTAATGAAAATAACACTACATTTGCTATTAGAAAAAAGTGTTGTACTAAGTGCCGGGTATGAATTATGATAGATGAGTATTGCAGGCCAGATTAGATAGGAGCACTCTGTTATTATAACTGCTTCAGATGTTGTTAGTGGGCTCTATATTTAGTAGACATTAAGTACATTCCCTTCATATTGGCTTAAGTAATCTATATATATTTATTTACTTAGCACCTTTCCTTTAACCTGCGCTTTGTCTCAGCGATTGCTTAAAGATCTGCTTGCTGACTCTTTCGTTGTTTTAACATCAGGTTAATTGACAGTCAATTAATTAACTACCATTTCCTGCTGCTTAGTTTCTTATACATTTCTTTTCAATCTTGCAATAAATCTATGGGGTTCCAATTAGCCTCCTATGTCAATTGTCGCATTGTTGTATAATTATTAGCTGATTTATTGCCAGATCTGTGCATTAAGTGAAATTTATTGTTTTCGAATTGGGGGTCGTTTTGTTTTCTGTGCACTTAAAGGCAGATGCTTGAGCATTTGAGTATGCACATAACAACTTGCTGTTAAAATAAAGTAAAATAATATAATATATTTGTAAATATAGCTGGGCTTGTTCGTTAAATTGGCACAAATCCGAATAAGTAGAACACTTTTCTACACTGAACTAATTTGCAAATATAGATTCACGGAATTACCATGTTTTATTTTTGGTTTTAGATAGAAAAATTAATAATGGCAAAAATAAAAAGGATGTTATGTTTACGTGAATTTAATTTAATGTTTAACCAGGAAGAAAAAGTGTTGAAACGTGCACTTTAAGTAGAATGCCTTTCAGTGTTGTAAAGTGCTTAACTAATTATTATTATTAAATTATTAGTTTTACGTACAATATTTAGGGTTTTTAAATGCAGTTAAGTTTTTTAAGACAACTATTTAAAATGTCAGAGTTAACTTTTGGTAACTTAATCCATATATAAAACATATATATAAAAAAAACTGCATAAATATTTATTTCATAATTTTTTGGCAAAGCAGAGTAGTAGTAAAAAGTTTGCTGTTTTCCTCTTAAAAAAATAAAGAATAAGAAAATTGTGAATTGCGAAAATTCGCTAACATAAGCAAAAGGCTGATGAAAGTGCAAATGCCTGCAGTGGAATAGTAAAATATTTTATTATCATTTGTGTAAATTGTTCTCACTGATGCGATGCGCTGCGCAAATAGCAAAGGAAATTGTTGTGAATTCTGTGAGTCAGTGGAGTGAGATAAGTTTATATAGAATGAGTTTTGCACAGATTGAGGAGTACGAGAGTAGAGAGCATGCATGTTGGTCGGGCCAAGACAAATAGAAAACGATAACTTGTTATTGTTTGTTGGTTTGTGTGTGTGTGTGTGTGTATGTTTTTTTTTTTTTTGTAATCTTTTCATATTTTTTATGGTGCGTGTGCGTGTGTTTGGATGTGTGCAAACAGAATATGTAATAAGTGGAACTGTATTGGAATATTATAACAACTGGTGAGGCAAACTCTTCAAACAGAACCCAGCCATCATCAGTGAATGCAAAATGGCTTGAAAACAGAATTATTTAAAGAAAACTTACCCAAGTTCTCCACAGATGCGTTTATATCGCGTATGGTGCGCGTATAACGCGTGGAGGCTCGCGACGAGCCCGGCGGCTTGGACATGGGGGTGCCATCCGGTCCGGGTGTTTGGATGGTCTGGCTCTTGTGACGCCTTATTGTCGGCAGGCGGGCCACAAAGGATGTGTTGTGCTTAAAACTGGATGAGGCCCGTCTGTGAAAAACAATATGTGCATATCAATATTTGTACAATCCGGTAAACATAAATGTTTACAAATACAGAAAGATATTGAAGGGATTTCAATAGACGGGATAAAGTTCAGCGTAGTAGAAGATAGTTGCCATAGGTGTGTGTGCGTGTGAGGGTGGGTGTGTGTGGGTGTATTTTGTGTAAGAGGGTGCTTATGTGCTAGCCTGAAGTTGTGAGTTTCGGGTAAAAATTACATGTGGCAGGTGCGGGACAAGCTTTATAATGACATCAGTTGAAAGGCGCATTTGAGCTGTGGATCTCTCTTGAGCTTTTTAGCTTAAGCTAAATTTGCTTTTGAATGTAAAGAATTTTAAGAAAAGTCCTAATTAGGTCAGATAGTTCAACTTTAAGTTTTAAATGTGCTTTATAATGCTCAATCAATCGTAATAAAGCCAGCTAGTTAATCTTGAAGCTTTACTTGGTCTTTGTTACACTCAAAACAAAAAAGAGCTTTAAATTAATCCAATAACTAATGCAAATTGTCGAATAACGTTTAGAAATAATTAAAGATTAAATGAAACTAAATACTTTAAGCTCTACTTTTGCTCTGCTAGTATTGAAAACTGTAGCTAACAAGCTTAAAGCTGTTGTAAATTCTAGCAACAGTCACAGAATGTAACCAAAGCTGCTTAAAACTTGAGCTTTCGATTAAGTTTTTAAGAGCTTTCATATGACTTAAAAGCAGCTTGTATGTTTGTATTTATCAAACGCTTAAACTTTCAGCTGGTGTCATTGTGACTTTAAATACACTACATTACACTAAAAGTTACATAGTTACAAAGTGTGCATATCCTTTAAAGATAGTGTACAAATATTTGTGTTAGTTTTCGATGTGTCTCTGTGCATACTTGTTGTGAATTTTAATTGTAAATAAAAGAGAGGAGAAATGGGAATAAAAAGCATTTAAATTGCTTGATTGAACTCACATGTTAATTATAGTACACATTTTATGCATTTACGTGTGTGTGTGTATGTTAATAAACATTTTTTTTTTTTGTTTTTATATTTTTTGTTTTCGATCACACAGCAGCAGCACAATGAGAATCAATTTGTATCACATTGATTAATTTACTTATATCATCGATGAAAACATAAATTAAACAATTGCAAAACAGAATTTAGCATATGTTATTGTTTTACAATAAACTAATTTTTTTTCTTAAATATTTTTTTTTTTGTTAACGCTTTTTAATAGTTTTACTAAAAATATTTCCAAAAATAGCCAAGTTCGAGAGATAGAGTATGAATTTAGAAGAGTTAGATATAAGTATGCAGACAGAGTTAGTCAGATAGGGTGCGTTATATGGAAGCTGCGAATTACAAAACTCGATAATTGTGTGTTGGGCTAAAGTTATTTATTATTATTATTTTTTTTTGTACTTAGGAGCGTTTGATGCATTTGATGTTTATGACTTGGTGCTTGATAAGCAAAATACCCTATGAAACCAAAACATGAATAGCATTTGCATTTGAAATCATTTTGCTTTTTGATTTTTTGTGAGTATGGTTTTTTTTTTTTTTTTTTTTGTTGCTTTTTATCACTTTTACCTATATTCGGTTATGTTTTTTAATAATCGCTCCCAGTTTTCAGAACTGAAAAGTTTATATATAAAAATTATTATGAAAGAAAATGATAGAGGTACGTAAAAAATGTTAAAATTAAGTACGCTGAAACTGAAATTGTTAATCGAGAGACGGAGAGATAATTTTCTTTTTAGTTTTTGGTTTTGTTTTCTGATTTGTTTTGTTTTGTTTTGTTTTTTTTTTGTGGTGTATGTGGGTATTATATAAAAGTGTATCATATATGCTTTTAGTAGTATGTACAAACTACACATGCGTTGGACGTTGGATGTAGTGTATTGTACAGACTAAAAGTTGTTGTTGGGGACGCTCGCAGAACTTTCCGCACGCCTTTCGCAGTGATTCTCATAAAATCACACGTTTTGGTCACACTTTTTAATACAACTCATTTGGTTTGTTGTGTTTGTTTGTGTGTGTGTGGTGTGGAGTGGTGTGTGGACGTGTAATTGTGAATTTGTACAACTGGATTACATGAAAAAACTCTCAGCTGGACCAAAAGTTTAAAATATATATGTTAAAAATTTAAATAAAAATAAAAATATAAATGAAATAATCAAAATACTAATAAAAATAATAATAAAAAATTATCTAATCGGCAAAAATATATTTCATATTTCAACATGCCAGTAGAAAATCTTTTAACAATGTTGGGAACAACAAAAAAATTACAATATTAACATAAATGAAAAAAAAAAACGAATTGGAAAGTAGTTCTTGATTAGAAGCTGGCTCTATCAATAATTCAATAAATAACTAAAAAATAAAATTATATTTAAAGTCAACAAAAACGAAAGTAAACTTTTGTTCATAATTGAATAGTTTGCTAGGTACCAGTTGAAGAGTTTTTTCATGTTTTTCCAAAAGTGTAATAGCAATTGTTTTAACTAGTATGGACTAGAGTATGCTTGAATATTCATATATTCCGCTGCAAGTCCCTGATTAAATGTTGTATGCATTTGTGTGCGGCATTCGATTTGCCCAACGGGGACAAGGGGGTCTACTTACGATGCGGGCGGACTTGGCAGCGCCACCTGATGTATCTTCCAGGTGGCCACGGAAACGGAATGCTCATCGGCCGCATAGCAGCGCCAAACGGCCTGAATGAGCGTCGCCGCCGGCTGGCGACGCCGTATCATGTGCTTCTGGCGCTGCTGCTGCTGCACCTTCAGCGCAAACCCGCTGCCCAGAATGCCCTGCAATGAGAGGATGTATGGATGGTCGATTGGAATCCGGTCGGTGAATGTATAAATAAACGACATGGACTTACCGCAGGGAGCGCAAAGAAGGATATGCCCAATAAGGCACAGCACGAGGCAATCAATTTGCCCTGCCAGGTGATGGGTACCATATCGCCATAGCCCACGGTGCAGAGCGTTATCTGGGTCAAAGTTGAATAATTTAAATTCTTGCAGTTTGGTTAGTTTTTGGTAACATACCACGCCCCACCACAACGCCTGTGCAAAATTGCTGAACTTCTCGTTAACGTCCTTCTCCCACATGTAAACAAGGAATGATGCAAAGATGAGACCTAAAAATCCAATATACATGGTTGTGATGAGCTCCTAGAAAAGCAACATATGAATTACAAGCTGCGTTAAACTGCATGTTAAATCTTAGGCAACCTGTCTGTGTGCGTATACAACCGAACCGAGCAGCTTCCAGGTGCCACCGCGTCGATCCATGCGCACCATGCGAAGTATCTGAAAGAATCTTAAACCACGCAATGCGCTCGTCGCAAACACCTGGCCAGAGGTGCCCATGCCTAATACTACAATTGAGGCTAAAATGGTGATAATATCTAAATGGGAAAACGTTCAATAATCGAATAATCGAGCTGCCATTGTTTACGTGAAATCCAATCTCACCTATAATACAAAACGGTTGCTTTATAAACTTAAGCCGTCCCAGCGTGCCTTGGTAGCGCGATCGGCAGCCCGATGACCACAGACGCGCCCCAAACTCCATGGTAAACCAGATGACAACTATGATTTCCATGCGAAACAATATATATACAGCATCCTCCTCGTATTCTTTGATGGTGGAAAACACGCTCAATGCGAGACATGTGAACACCATCAGAAAACTGCAAAAAACAATACAAAAATATTACCCATACTCATTTCGATTAGAGAATCTAAAAGTCTTTTATAAGAGAACATGGACTTATTTTTGTTAAATTATTATTGATTTTAAGAAGAAGGTTATGTGGAAAATATGTGTTCTTATTTTTTTATTTTTTAGAAATTGTAGATCTTCCGTGTTCAAAAATATTATGATTTTATTTGTTTTATGCGGATTTACTACTTCTATCATGCTCTGCAAGCATAATATGCTAAGCAAAAATATAACTGTGGATTCATTTTTAAATTAAATTTAATAATTTGCTTAAAGCCTAGATATATTTTTTATAATTTTTTAAATGTAAGGAGCTTCAAAATAATCGAATAATAGGGCTTTCTTCTTTCTGTTTGTTTTTGCAAGTGATTTTTGACACAACAAAATTGTCTCATTGTATTTATTAATTAATACTCATAATTGTTATCAAGCTTAAAGTTTCTCTATTACGTCTATTTAATGATTAATTATTTAACTAATTAATTACTAGTTGAGAGTTCTGCCTAGTTTATACGAGTTTGTTCTTTGGAATCGAACTCAAGCAAGGGTATATATTCTATATTTATTTGCTGAGATTCATTGGGAAATCATTGCTTTCTCGAATTGAGCTAACAAATTGCTGTAATTGTTGTTATAGTCTATTTAGATGATTGATCAGTTTTGTACTTACACCATCACATGATAAAATATTGCATGCAGGCCCCGCGGTCGCTCTAAGAAATTGTAGAGCCGACTTTGCATCCGCCGGTAGCGGGCATCGCGGCGATGTGTGCCGCGATTATAGTTCAGCGGCTTCCCTAGGAGTGACATTCGCGGTTGCAGAAATTGTTGCGATTTCTTTGGTCCCGCCGGTCTACATTTCCTGCAAAGGACGACAAATAGAAAGCACATTAATTAAATTTAATAAACAATACAGTTAGTTCTTATCGCACCCCTTGAAGCCCATTATATCATAGAATGCATAAACATCGTTCTCGGGATCCATGTTACGTTTAACATGCCCCTCAAAACCTAATCACTGCACTAAAAAACCAAACAAATTAACCAAGCACAAAACACAAGTAACGCTGATAATAGAGCCCAGTAAATGGGGTGTACGACGTGTGTCGCGTTTGGCGTTCAAATCACAACTCGATCGTCTGTTGAGCGTTTCGAGCGTTTAAAACCCACACCGCTTATAGACTTTCCAAAAACCTCCATGTGTAAATTTTTATTAATTATATACATAAACTGTTTTGCCTTTTTTTTTTTGTCTGTTTTATATTTTGTTTTCTACACACCTTGCATTTTTATGGTCGCCTGTATCTATGTAGACCTTTATTTGATTTGATTTTATTTCGTATTTTATTTTATTTTGTTGCACCTGAGACTTCGTCATAAAATTTTGCCAAGACTTCAATTTCGTCATATACTTTTTTTTCGCATATTTATTTTGTTGTTGTTGTTGCTGTTCTTTTTATTGATCGTTCAGACAGCTCCTTAGTTTAGTCACGATCTCTAGAGGTTATTGTTGCTTTTTTTTCTTTTCATTTTGGCGGCAACGTGTCGTATGCTTGATGTACGTCATTAACACAGACGTTGCCGCCCTTTTTGGCAGATAGCAAATGCAAATATGGGCAAACAGCTTTTTGGGGGTGTGCGTTTTTTTCAATTTGGCATTTACGACTGCCGCGGAAAAGTTTTACTTTGCCGCTTACAGTTACAGCTACGTAATTTTATGCTCTTTAAGGCTAATAAATGCATATATCTTACAAATGCAGCTTTAAGCCTTAGGCAGGCACCCACTGCATTGACCCAGTTTGTAGAAAACTAGTTTGCATAGCCTGTATTACTCGTGGCCTGCAGCCTACGGGCGGGTCAGTTGTCAGTTCTCATTGCCAATGTATAAAGCCAATAGAAGTCGTTAAAATGCCTCTAGAATGCAGGCCTTTGCCTGCATCTTTTGATTGATTAAAATTTATTTAGAATGGATATTTTATAAAAATATAAATTATGGGCACCGTGACTAATATCTAAACAAAAAACTTGTCAAAGGAAATATGCTCTAATGATTTTAATTAAACGTATTGACAAACAAAACCCAATACCAACAAAATCAAATCTATTTTTGTTATCGCTTTTAATTAATATGTGTGAGGTTTATTCTTCTCAAGATTTTATGCACTCAGTTCCTTAAAAGTATCTGGCATTAACATTTAAGTACAGTTAAATGCGAAGAGAGCAAGCCCATAAATCAGTTAACGTTTATTTGATCCCTGATAACGGCTTAGACTAAAAATAATTTAATTGAAATAGCAAATTATATAAAACAAGATAAAGGTCAGTTAATATGTCTTACGTAATGAAGTATTATTTGTTTTTGTTTTTATATTTTATCTTTTATTTTAAAATTGTTTTCATTAAATTCACAATGTTTGGGCTTACACAGAAATTCGATTTCTTAGAACTATCGACACATTCCACCTCATTGATGCTAACCATAATTCAACACGTCAAAGAAGCACATATTTATTTGTCTTTGTAGTTCTTATTGACGTGCGACTGTAATGGGCCCGCTCATTTGCAAGTGTGTGTAAAGATAAGTGCATAAGTATTAGGGCAACGTTTGCTTTAAAAGCTTTTTGCCATTAACTTGACAAGCACGCTGAGCTTTAAGCTTGCTAAGCAGTTACGTACGTGTGGCGTGTATGTGAGTTAAGTTTTCACCAAGATTTCTTCTACAGTAAAACTTGACTAAGATAAACAATTGAATTGCCTTCGATGTAGATGAATATTTATGGAAATCAAGAAAGATACTTTGAAATGAAAAAAAATGATCATACTTAAGGGTTAAAATGTTAGCTCAACATGTTTGGTTTTATTGTCCATGCAGTTTCTATAGAGCTTCATCATCAGAAAACTATTCTGTTACGGAAATCAAAATTATGACACATAAATTGCATATCATCTTGTTTCTGAACGCCATTGCGATTCTGAATTACAGAAACTTTTGAGCTGGCAAATATTGTGGCCATAAAAACCGTCCAATAAAGCAATATACATTTTCCAATGGCAAAAATTTCTTAAGCTTTTTGCTAATTCGCAGAAGATATTCACTGATTTCTAATTCTAATTTTGCAGTTTTTCCTTTGTTGTCGAAATGGTCATAAATTTTCATAGTGTGTATACAAAATCACATGTGCACATTTCTTCAGTTAAAGAGTGCGAAAAATTATACTAACTCTGTCTAAATACCCTAACATATACTCCATGCTAATTGTGCGTGGGATGTGCAAAACCCGTTTTTAAAACAAAACTCAAGCAGGTACATAAAGATTAAAAGCACGGCGGAAGTTTTGGCTTAGATGTTCGCAATTCATCAACTGATCGAGTTGTCGCTTTCCATAATTGAAAGCTTCCATAGACACGATTCCTCTCTCACGACTGAAATTTACAAATGTCACGAAATTGGTATTCTGAACCCATTGTTAACTGGTAAAGAGAGTATACGCTCTGGAAATTTCACTAAGATCGGACTTCAAGCACCGAAGTTATATGAGAATGCGTTTTCCATATGTTTGGGCTAAGGAAAAAAGCACCACAGCGGCGTGTGTGTGTGTGTGTGCGTGTGTGTAAGTGTACGAATGAAGCTTGATTGCTGACAGAGATAACTCGCTGCTAGTTGCAGGGTAAGTGTCAGTCGGGCACACCCGACTAGAGCACTCTCAATTTTTTTTGATTGCTGCAAGTGCTCGCGACACAAGCAAAAACTCATAAATATTATGTACTAGCACTGCGAACTCTATCTAATCTCTGAAATAAGAGCGGAAACAAAGCTTTTTTGCAACCCAAAAATTATTCGTTTTGTTAACTGAAAAAGAAAAACCCTGTTTGTTTTTTTCAAATTTTAATGTAATGCTTGTTGTATTTGTTTGTTTTAGTCTGTAGCTGAGGCTTAGGTTAGACGACAGTTAAAATATATATTATGTACGTGTGTGTTGTGTCTGTGTGTGTGTGTGTGTTTCTCTCTGTGTGTCTGTGTGTGTGTCTGTGTGTGTGTGTCTCTGTGTGTGCACGTTTTGGCCGTTTATATGTATATACATTAGTTGCTTTGTTGGAAGGCGGTAAATAATAGTAAAAATATGTATAATATGTACGATAGATTTATGTATTATATCGAGATATATGTATATACATATATATGGTTGGGTTGTTGTATCCGTCTGTATAAGCACGATACAAAAATCACAAGTTGTTTTTGTTGCTGTTAGCACCGACCGCTTCAGGTGTCCAGGTGCCCAGGTAGCCAACCAGGTGGGCCAGAGAAATCTGGCGCTCACTTCTTGGCATCTATGATGATCTCGTCGCCCGATTGTATATTATAGCTGTAGAGCTGTTTGTTGGGATAGCGCATCTCCTCGGGCCCAAACTCCTTGTAGTCCTGGTCCAGGTAATAGAGACGCATCTTGTTTGGCGCCAAATTGATTAGCTTCTCAAGCTTGACCTTCAGATCGTTGACGGTTAGATAAATGTCCACGAAACGACTTTCGCTGACTTCGTTGTAGGTGAATATGACCTTGACCCGTTTCTCCGGCTTCAGATTGACATTGACCAGCGGATCCAGTTGGCCATGCACCGCCAGCAGCTCTGCATAGCGTGCCGGCCGCTCGCACTCCGGCTTGTCCATGTAATGGCGCACAAAGGCGCGTTCCGCGTCCACACGCTCATCCACGCTGATCTTTCCGCCGCCATTCAACATGGACACATTGGGCAGACGGGCGATCAGCAGCTGACGGCGCTCGTGCTCGGTGCACTCGAGTGTCTCCCAGAGGGGCCAGTGCTTGACACGCAGATTCTGCAGCTGACCGTATTTGGCCAGCTCATCGATGTCCGCCCAGCTGTTCAGCTGGGCGCAGCTCAGATTGAGCAGCTTCAGGCAGGGGAAATATTTGTGGCACTCGCTGGCGCTGGCCGAGTCCAGTTCGGCGTTGGCCTGCAGCGATTTGATGGGGCACTCGGCCAGCACTAGGGCCTCGAGGCTGGGGAAGAGTCTGCCCAGGCGACAAATTTCCTGCCAGTGCTCGATGGGATTGCCCGTGAAGTGCAGTGTCTTGAGCGCCGGATGTGCCTGGGTCAGCTTGCGTCTGGCCCGGCACAGGTTGCAGCAGCTCTCAGACAATGCTTGCGCTTCCGCTTCCGTTTCCGTTTCGGTTTCGGTTTCGGTTTGTGGCACGCATTGGCAGCTGCTGTTGCTGTGCTCCGCCACCTCAGCCGCATCCAGCAGCACGGCACTGTAGTTGTTCAGGCTCAGGTGCAGCTCCTGCAACACCGGCAAGTTCTGCAGCAGCGCATCCACGCACATCCAGTCCAGGTAGGTGCCGTTGAGCACCAGATTCTTTAGATTAATCGTCGGTGCCGCCAGCAGCGCACTGGGCGTGCTCAGCAGCTGATTCTTGCTCAGATTCAAGAATTCGATGCGCGGCATATGCTTCAGTATGTTGAACACCTCATGCCAATCCTGCAGCTTGTTCTGCGCCAGATCCAGCTCACGCACACGCTGGCATTTGTCGCGTATGCTCTCAAAATCGCCGGCGCAATCGATGTCGCAGTCGTTGAGCACCAGCAGGGCGGGCACACTGGTCAGCGGGGAGAGGCGCGGTATGAATATGGAGAACTCCATGCGTCCGCCACATTTGGTAACCGTAAAGTCATTGGGCAGATCGGAGCGCTTGTGCAGCTCCGGCTGGTTGGCGTTCTCGAATTCGCATTCGGCGAAATATTTGCGCTCCAGCGCCTCCAGCAATGAGGGCATCGCGCTCGCTCTTTCTCTCTCTCTCTCTCTCTTGCTCTCTTTCTAGCTGTATTTGAAACGCTGTCGCAGCAGCCAATGAATTATGTAAATTTTAACTTTTCACTTTTGTTGTTCGTTTTGTTTTTGTTTTTGTGTCTTTGTTGCTGCTGCTTTGAGCGCTGGCTGCGCTTTGAAGCTTCGCCTTAAGTGCTCAAGCTTTTACGGTACTTGTTTTGTCAGTTGCCGTTCTTGTTCTTCCTGCACTGCTGCTGCTGCTGCTGCTGCTGATGTTCTTGTTTGTCGTTGTTGTTGTTGTTGCAGTTGTCACAGCTTCTGTCTGCCTCTGCTCCTTCGCTGCTGCTGTGCTGCTGCTTATTGATTTTTGGAGAATTCAAGTTGCGTTTTGCATTGAATTTCGTTGTCGTTGTTGTTGTTGCGTGATGCAACGTTTGTGTGGTTTAATATTTTTTGCGCAGTTTTTTTTTTTTTTTTTTTTGTATTATTGCAGCCGTCGATTTAAACAAATTGCTGCGCACGTTGTTTTTGTCTTTGTTGTAGTTGTTGTAATTGCGCACTAATTTAACAAAATTTGTTGTTGCCGAAACAAAGAAAAACACAACAAATTGTGAGTGTGTGTACGAAGGGGCCACTTGCCAGACTACCTGCTGCCCCTCTACCTCTCTCGCTCTCTGTCTCTCTCTCTCTCTCTCACACACACACACACACTGGCTCTGTCTCTGTTCAAATATTCCAGTCAATGGCGTTTACTACGACAAAAAGCCAGGCCAAAGCTGAGTAGCTCTCTGTTTTTTGTTATTGTTTAGCTTTTCTAATTGCTGTTGTTGCTGCTGCTGCTGTTGCTGCTGTTGCTGCTGCTACTTTAGCAGTTGGTGATTTTGATGGTGTCTCTGTCCGTTCGCAACGCCACCAAACGCTCAACTAAACCACAACACAAGAACGAACTCGCCTCCGTGTTGTATGTATTCTTCTGGTCCGTTTTGCCAGTTGCTCTGCTCGTCGTGTGCTTTTATTTTGCTGTTGCTGCTGCTGCTGCTGTTGTTGTTGTTGTTGTTTTTTGTGTGTAGGTCGCCGTCATGCGCACAGGGGCGGATTCGGGGAAGCTTTTTGCTCACGTTAAGTTTTGGGCGCTTGGGCGCACAAGCTTCGTTCAAAGTTAATTAGTTTTGATAGTCGTTTCCAAAATTAAACGATGCAATAAGTTCCCATCTGATGTAAAACCACCAGCACTTTGCTAATTAAGGCGCAGCCGCGCCTGCAGCTCCAATCAGATAAGAACCTATCTCAATAATTTTGATGCCACCAAAAAAGCACAATATAATGATTTCCAATACGCATATCGCATAGGCTGTTGAGTTTTTTCGATTATTTTTCTATCTATATATATTCTATGGGCCCCACATTTAGGCGCCTTAAGCGGGCCCGTTGTAAATGTAAATGTCTGATGGCGACCTTGCGACGTAAATAAATATACATACGCTCAATTACGAAATTGTTTTAGCTAGAGCAAATACAAATATTGCTGCGCCGCTTTCGCTTTTATTTATTTTTTTTTTTTGGGGCAAGCAAAAAATAGAATATGTAGGATTATAGAAATTTTGAAAAACTCATTTGCAATGACCTTGCGTATTGTGCACTTGGCAGCGGCCCTAGCAAAACAGCAATATCTCAGAATTGGGCGCCCTGTTGTGTGCCAAATGCGCCACCGTTTGCATTTTGTCTGGAAAACCAGTTATAAAGTCAACGGTCATGCCACAGTGAAAACGCGCTACAACAAACTACCCCGACAGAAAAACAATAAAGAGAAACCCAGAGCAAATGTTTATTATGATTGGCAGCATTTCATTTTAAAACTAGGGGATGATTGTATTTTAGTATTTTTAAATTTCCATAGCCTTGCTGCGTATATGCTGTTACATTTGTAATATGCGCCGTTGTTGTCGTAACAACTCAATGGGGTTCACTTTGTTGACAGCTTAAAAGGTGCGCAATAAATGAGCGAGTTTTGTCAGTGGGTGGGGGAAGGCGAATTGGGACAGCCAGAGAGGCAGAGAGCGCGAGAGCGCTTGAGAGCGCGTGAGAGTACGCGTCGTGAGCGCGCCAATTTACAAAGCTTATGGCGCACACACACAGCTGTGCTTTGTTGACGTCGTGACTAGCATGCAGAGACACGTTCACGTACAAAAACACAAACATATGTTTGTTTGCATTGGCGCTCAAACGAAACTACGCAGCATGTTGAAAGCTTCGGACGCCCAGCTGATTGTGTTTGCATTGTGAGCTTTACGCTCTTACACAGCTTTTGCATGTGCACGTCAACAACAACAATAACAACACGAGCAACAGCAGCGCTGAAAGTCAACGAAAAACAGATGGGCAGCATTGTGACAGTGGAGCAATGGCATGGGCATGGCATTCGGGGGCGTTACAAATTTGATTTGCACAAAGCATAACGTTTGACGCCTTTACCGTTTTTTATAACCCAAAACTCAATTTGCCGCTGCCAATATTGTACAATGTCAGCATGCACAGACGCAAATACTTCTGCTCTAGAGTGTGTGTTGTGTGTGCACTTTTCTTGGTCAAACTATCTGACGAGGGGTTCCAATCAATTTACATACATATATACATATGTAGATTTGATTATTGCTGTCGCTGCCTCGAGTTATACAAAGAATATTCAAAGATAAATGCACGAGCTGTGCTGTGCTTGTTTGTGCTATTCGTTGGATCAATAGATGGGAAAAATAGCAAATAATGGCATCCCAATTGCAACAGATGCCATTCTGTTCGAGCTCATATATGCTAACAATTTTATGTACATATTTTTGCTTTCTGTGCATTTTGATAAATTGCATAACTTATATTAGAAGTATTTCTTAAGGAAATAATACGTTTTGCGTTAGATAGTTTATTTAACTTATCTTAACTTATCTATCTCTAATTTGTGTTGCTCGAACACAGATTATGTTCGTTTTTAATTGTAATCAAATTTATCTAATAAAATAATGGCTTGCTGTAGGTTAGAAGTTTGGAGAATTATGTGTGTACTAAAGTAAACAAACGGAAAGGCTATATATGATCGATCACGAGCATATATATTCTATGGGCTCGTAGATGTATTTTGCTAAGCGTTGCATATTATGAATATTAAGTTATTTATTAATTGAATATCCTAAATTTTTAATCACGTTAAACAATATTTCGTCTAGCACGATATTTAACATGCATGTTAAAAATTTTAAGTGCCAGATTTAAATGAGGAGCTTTAGGCCTTGGATAAGTTAAGGCTTAAGCCTAAAGCGTATACATATATAGCTTAAATAAAGTTTAAGCTCGCTTCAATAAAGCTTAAATCAATAAAAAAAAAAAGAAAGCGAAGATTACCTGAGTCATGACTCAGTTTTAAGGGTCAAATGGGTTTGTAGACATTCAAACTTAATCCAAAAAAAGTTATATTTCTTGTCTTTTGACTCATACGCACATTTATGACTCTTCTGAAACTTAAGGAAAGCCACACTCATAATGTCTTAAAATCGCCAAAAACAAATTTTCGAGAGCAATTCGGGTTCACTGTAGACGTAAATTATAATTTTTGTTTCTTGTTGTTCGACGACCCGCATCGCTCATGTCTGAGACATTCGAAGGCGTCACACATTCTTAGAGCCAGCCGTACATATATATATATATGCATGAGTATATATGTGTATATGGTCTATAATTATCCATGAAAGTCGCAACACTTAGCGTATTATTCGAAAATGCGATTTTCTTATGGTTTGACCGGCGTTTGTTTTGCGAGGAGCAGAGAAAACGGCCAATAAGCCATTTGTCAATAGAATTTACCATTTTAGCCATGGCTACCCGAGACCAACTTAATTACGACTCGTATATCATTATTGATGCTTTAATGTTTTCTAAACAATTTGTGGATTTTGATTTAATTGCCCTGTACCATTGCGACCGACTGTGGGCTTATTTTGGGCCAGGTTTTCAGAAAGTTTGGCAACATTTTGTAATTTACAATATTTATTTTGCGGCGATTTATTTGATGAACGCAATTTTATGGCCAATTGCTGTTTACAAATTTTGAATGCATAAATGTATGTGTATAAATATGTTAATACTATATTTATATCAAAAAGAAAAATGGAAATTACCAAATAAAATCGATGAAAAATTTGTTGAAATCAATTGCGTCAATAAATGCGCCTAAGATGCTGAATAGTTGTTCCTTTTGTTGTTGTTGTTGTATTTTGATCGTAAAGTTCTATAAATTTAGTTGTGTAAAATGGAAATTTTGACTTTTTGTGCCCGACGGCATTTAACGACTTTCATGGAATGGCACAACGCGAACGGCAACTACGTAAACAATGCAGCTATAAGAAAAGCAATTTTCCTGTCTCATTTTCTATGCTCGCCAAGTCTAGACAGCGTCTTTTATTTTTGAATTATTACACGTTTAGTTTTTTTTTTTTGTTCACTTTTATAATGATAAACAGGCCGTTATACTTGAGCATGACTGTAGCTGTTGGGCGAAAGGCTGCCCTACTGCTGTCTTCTTGTGCCTTGTCTGGCCGCAGCTGAGCAAGTGGTTAACCTTGCGTATGAGTAATGTGTTATTTGGTTCATTATGGCACAGTTTTCGGTTTCATTTCAAATGAACTTCATATGGTGCGTGCACAGAAAGAAATATGTAGATACATATATCAGATGTATGTAGAAGATTTATATCTCTGACCCATTTGCCAACTAGAGAAACATAAATATTTGTCTTATGCTCATAAATTTGTAGCCAATAAATGTGCTCAAAAGAAATCACAAAACCATTCGATTTTGTTTGTCACAAATTGGCCAATTGACAAATTGCACAAATGACAATAACTGGACATTATGGCTGACTGACTGATTGATTGATGGACTGGCCGTCCAAATGATAGTGCGGCTGTCGCTGACAGCTCTCATTAGTCGCCATAATATTTACACACGACCAGATAAACCGATTTCAATATAATTGTTACTGTTTTTAATACCCTCTAAACAGCATACAAATGCAAAAAGCGTGTAATTAAATGTCTTTCTCCAACATTCTTTTATCTGACTGCAGAGTAGACTCGTCCCAGCTATTTACACAGAACTCAGCTTCTATAAAAGCTAGCCATGGCCATTTTCTTATACAGCTGGCTTTAAATATAAACTACTCGATTTAATTTTAAATTTTCAATAACTATTCAAGTCTCACATTATGTAACAAAATTAAAATATTGTTAATATATCGATACTACCTGAAATGTGTACCAATAATCGAATAACATATCGATAAATACGATATCACTATCGATAAATGTGCTATCGATTACAGAAATGATATTAATAATTCACTTTCTTTCATTTCTGGTCTGTTACAGGGCATTTTCCAGTCAGTTTGACTCTTTTGCTGACTTATTTTTTCTTGTTTATCGCCTC